TCAAGGTTTCATTTGCATATATGAAAACATAATTGGAATTATATTTAAGAATTATTTTAATAAAATGCAGGCATTTAAGAAAATAAATTTTAAGTTTGAATGCATAATATAATATATAGTTTTTTTTCAGTTATTAATTAATAAGAAAGGACAAAAATTACGCTAATGAGGGAAAGAAATTGTAGTTTTTTTCTTCTTAATATTTTTTTTCCCTTAATATTTTTTTCTCTTCTTAATATATTTTTTTCCTTCGTAATGTATTTTTTTTCTTAATATATTCGCCTTTATGTGAAAAATGTATTTTTATCCGTTTTTTTTTTATCTCACAATAATTGAGAAAGCAATTTTTCAAGAATTAATTTTTTTAATTAATAAATTTTTCTTTAATTAGTTAACACCGATATGTTTTTTTTAAATGCAAAATAAACAACATATATTTAGATTCAATCAAATTCTTTTTATTAACGCACCATCGTAATAAATAACGTTTTTTCTGTCCATTCTTTTTCCTTATATACATATATATTTTATATATAACACTCCATGTATGAGTGTTTCTTTTTCCTCGTATGGTATGGTGTTGTGTTAGTGTTACTCGTATCGTATTTCCCGTTTCATTCACTTTCTTGCAATTAAAAAATAAATAAATAAATAAAAATTAAGCTCAATTATTCTAAACAGAAATAAAATAGTCATAACTCTGGCCAGGTTGTAAATTTATCGATCCTTATTTTCGATTGTACACTTGCACATGCTTTTCTATGATATTGATGGCTCTTAAAATTATTACTATTATGTTTTATTAAATTTTTGAAATGAAAATTAAAAATTTAATGGCCAAAAACCAGAATTGTAAAAAGGTATAAAGAATGACTTTTAAAGTCAAATAGATCTTAAAACTGATTAAGGAACTGGTTGTTCTGCAATGCTTTATCTTGAGATTATTTGTCTTGTAGATATAAGATAAGTTGTAGCAGAGCAGTCAAATTCAAAGATATTGCCACAAAGCAGAGAAACAAGTTAAAGGGTTAAAGGTTAGCGAATCTATATTATTAAACATAGTTTCAACATGCAAGCTGGTCTGTATCTGTTGTTGAAATTGGACTCATTATTTTGGATGATACTAATATTTATGTGTCTTCTACAATAGATTTTTTCTGTTTCTATTTTCATCCATGACATGAAAACTTCCCATTCATTACCAGTTTTCACGAAGGTAAGGGGTAATTTTTTTAAATGCAAGCTATTAGTGTTATCTTCTTTGTAACTAACCCCTTTCTTTCGCTCTGTGATCCCCTGTTCTTTTTTTTTACTTTAATTGATTCATCGCGTCTGCTATCAACCCTGAATCATTTTTTTCACCCTACTAACCTTTGACCCAGCATTGGCGGGAAAAGTGGGAACCAGGTTGCAGCTTCCTGTTTCGTGCATGTATATTTAATCCTTTTCGCCGCTAACCTTATGCTTCGGTATTGTGATGGAATATTCTCATATTCCAGGTGTTTTTTAGCAAGAAATTCCAATATCTTCGTTTTTAAATTAATAATAAAAAACAAACACATAATTAAAATTCTGGACATGTATTTTCATATCAGTGAAAATAGTAACATTGATATTTTCTATTAACTTCTACACGGTCATTTATTTTTACATCTTTTATTTGGGAAAAAGTTTTTAATATGAGTTATGATATTATGAAAATTTGGATAGTACCTTGGTCAGACATGTACCAAAATTTTTATTAGATAAAAAATAAATATAAAATTCTGGATTTAAATTCTTTATAAAATTAAAAATCCATAGCTTACGAAAAAAGTATTAACGTTTTTGTTGCTAATATAAATTAGCGCATGATGCACGAAATAATACCAAAACAAATTTACCTTCTAAGTTAATCTCTAAGTAAAGTCAACTTACTCTGGTCTGTGTGTATTATGTCATAAATTTATATGATTAATTTATATTGTAACCTTCTTATATTTTGCCTTATTATACCTCTTATAATTTAATTTATATTGTACATTCTTATTGTACCTAATCATATTGTAAAATTTGTTTCGTTAAGCGAATAATTTGATAAATGTATGTTTATTTACGCATTTTTAAAGTTTTGCATTTTAACGCTATTACATCATGTGATAAATTTATTCATTTTAACTGTGCTTCGAAACGCTCCTGCATTATTTCTTAATTGTACACAAATTTTAGTGGCTTTATAATTTTTCTTCTAAACACTCCTGCATTGTTTTATAAAATTGCGCTTATTTAAGAAGTTAAATAATTTTGTTGCCAGGGGTCTTTTTAGAAGAAATTTGGGTCCGTTAACGGACCCTTCACAAAATATCTTAGCCTAAANTCACAAAATAATTTATCTTTTAATCGGCCCCTTTACAAATTTGTTTATCTTCATTATTGTTCAATCGAATAAACCCTCAATCGAACGGGAAAAAAAAAACAAATGTTACAGCAATTGCTGTTTATTTTTTAAAATTATAATTTTACAGTGTTGAGCATAATCTTGTATCTCTTTACAAGTTAAAATTTCCTTGAAAAAGTTTTTTGCAATAACTGGACCCTATTTGCACAAATTCACAAAAGCAGGACCCTGGTTGAAAGAGTTGTGACTCAACCTTTATTTTATATTCACAAATTACGAGTAATTTTTTCACAATTTTACAAAAACGGACCTTTCACAAAATGTCTGGACAGACCCCTCGTTACTAAACATTACTGCTTTTCTTTTTAAATAAAGTTGCCCCTAAATGCTGTTGCATTTTTAAAAAAAATTACCTTACACTTATTTGTTATGTTTTTCTGAATGCTTCGGCATTCGATAAATTAACACTCACTTATATATTTTTTTCTAAACGCGTGCATTATTTCATAAATTTATTTCCTTTAATGTTGCTTAATAATTTTACTTAAAAAAGCGAACTTGTATCTTTTTGCGGCTGGTGCTTATAAAATCTGGAATCGGGTCAACAGAAGGCAATGAATAACTAGTTAAAGAATATTGTCACGTTTGTAAACAGCTTAGTATTATCGTCAGCGAACAAATTTTAAGTTGTCTAACCCTTTTTATTTTTATTTTTCTTCTGTTTGCATGAATGCTGTAAAGAAAGAAAAGTAGGAAACGATGTTAGAGATAAGATTGAAATGATTAACCTTTTGGTGATTTTGAAGATAAATTATTTTGTGAATGGGTTAGATAAAAACATAGTTCGATTCAATTTTTTCCCATTTGTTATCTTTGTTATAAACGACATTTTGCTTACTATTTTAATGAGAAGAATTTTCTTTAATGGAGACCAATTTTAAATAAATCTGTTGAAAAAAATAAGCTTCTAAAATTAATTTTGATTTAAATTTGGTACAGTTAACATCGATACATTTTGCTTTTAATTAATAATTATTTTCTTCATTCGACTTCAGAATTCACTCGTTTTCGCATAGATTCTTCATAATACAAATGAGACTAATTTTTTGGTTCTGTTATTTATTATTATTTTGTTTTTTTGAAAGTCTTTACTTGCAGTTTGCCCATAGATTGACTGTTGAATTAAGATCCGGAGAGTTTCCTGGTCTCTCTGAAACAGCCATTTTGTTATTTGGCCAATCATTCCTTCAATTTTTGCTATTGTGGCAAGGAGCCAAATCTTGTTGAAAAATTCCATCTTTGGATGACTCTAGCCGCAATCTTTCGGTTTTATTTTCTTGTGAAATTCATCATTATTTCTGTAAGAATGAATAATAATCGTATAAAACACCCTGAAAAATTTTATTTTCTTCAGAAACCCGGAGCCGAAAAGCTGCTTTGACTCCAGCTCCGTTAAGACACTGGCTCCGGCAATTTTAATAATTAATTTTATGCGCGCTTTTAAGTTTCAGATTTTAATTTTAAATTTTTATTACAAAAAGAAACAAAAATCACATAATCATCAGTTAAGGCAGAAAATATAAATTTACTTTACTTTAGAGTTGAGTTACTTATTCATTCTTAAGAAAATAATTGAATCTAATAAATCCTCCTTCATATTTGCTCTTAAATCATTATAAATTTATATTAATGCCGAGAACAGTTTTCTTTTTCTTTTAAACGCAATTAACGGGCAAGGTCTTTACAATGCAGTAATCCTCCTGAATATCTTCAAGATTAAATTGCTGGAGCCCTCTGGAGCATTGTAAAATTTCGAACGCAAGCTTCAGTTAAAACACAGCTCCGGGCTCCAGCTCCGGATTCCTGCTCTTCCTTAAGTTGAAAAATTGATACATTTAATCTTGATTCAATTAATACGCACGCTGTTATAAATCTGAAATTGTAACGAACATAAATTTATGGTTTGGTATGAAGGACGTGCGTTTTTTTAAAATTTTTTACAATACCGGAATTCTAATTATCTTCTACTCATAGCTTAGTTTAACATTACTAATCTCATGACAGCAATATATTTGTCTTAACTTCTTGCAAATTTGAGAATTTTAAACTACTGATTAAATGTATCAATTTTTCAACTTTCCTAAAAATTAAATAAATTAAATTATAACCTAAAAATTAAATTAAATAAAAAAAACGAATAAATAGAATTAAAAAAAATTGCCATTATATTAATATCAACCTTTTACCATTTTTAATGTAAGACTAACTCATTTTCTGCTTTTTACAATCGTTGATAATTTATTTAAGTTCATTTTCCAGAATAATTTCAACAAATTTAAATTCGATTAAGAAAGTTGAAAATTTATAAATCAAATTTATAATTATATATACAACAAAACTAAGTTGGTTGATTCATTTAAAATAATTTTGTATTTAATGTAGCGTTAATTCCGTTGATTGTTTTATATATTTATTTTGTTTATTTATCATTTGTTTTCTAATGTAATCCTAAATATTTTTACTTTCAACCGTAATTTTGTATATTACTACTTAACGTATTTTTTTCTATGTATTATTATGTAATTATTTTACCTGTAGCTTAATTATATATTTTTCTTTTTAGGTAAGTTCCATTTGATAACTTTAAAAGACTGAATGAACTTGCAGTGAATGATATAATATTTCTTTTTATACAAACAGTGAGTATGTTTTAAGTTTCATTTTTTTAATATTTATTTTCAACCTTGCTTTTATTCTTTGAGTGTGAGGTAATATTCCAGTTTTAAGAAAGCGCTACGTTATTGTTATCATTCGTAAATGTAAGGTATCGGTAATTTTTTCATTGAAGAATATTTTATTAATTATTTACATTTTTATCACTGCCCATATGAATTCTATAAAAACTGTTATCAAATAAATCCTTAGCTGCCAACTTGTACTCCGTTAGGCAAGATTTTACCATGTGGTAGTAAAAATTGTTTAAAAATTAATTTATGACGCTAACGTTTTAAAACTGCCTCACAAATAGATCTTATAAACATGTACTTATAAACATATCTCATAAACATATCTTATACGTAACTTATAAACATACTAACTTCGACTGTTGTCATGGTATGTAATTTTTTTTTTCAATTTTAAAAATCGAAATTTATCCAATAATTAAAACATATTTGTTGCTATCAATAAGAAAAATTTCCTCTTACATTTTATGTACAAGTTGGCAGCAATGTAAGTTCAGCAATTCAAATTCGCTTTTGATCCCCCCCCCCATCTTTTTTTTAAAATTATTAAATAACTACATAAGCAATGATTCCGCTAAGGTTTGAGAACTAAAGGTTTTTAATTCATCATAAAATATAAATGTAAAAAAATTTTTTTACGAACTACTTTTTGTGGATTTTATATTTTTTTACAAATATAATTCCGATTATCTAACAGATTCTTTTTCTTTTTTAGTTACATAACTATTAAACTGTTTTTTTATAATTGTATGCATATATATACATTGAAATTTCCGTGTCCTTTTTTACTAAAAGCCTATTTAAAATAATATAAATCTGCTTTTTATATTTTTCGGTGACTTATTAAACTTCTTTGTTTTAATATTTATTCTTCAGTGAAAACAGAATCCTCATATATTCTCTCTATTGTGTTCATCATTTTTGTTTATTATTTTTTTTTAGTAGCAGAAATTGTATTTTACATTTTAAAGTTTGGTTTAGTTTTTTCTATTTAAATCTGCTGGCTATCTAATTTTTTTATTATTTTTCTTTATTTTTTATCTTTAAGCGAATTGTTGAATTATTTGACATGCTAGCAGGGAAGCTGAATCGCAAGTAAAGCCATGCTGCATAATAACTACTAAGCGACAGATAAATTATCTATGGATGATTGATTTGTTTTCGTCCTATTCCTCTTAAAAGCTTCTAATCAATGTTTTTATGTTAATTTGTTACACATTTAAAAAAAAAAAATGCAGGTACAATTTTACAAATAGAAGAAATATTTCGCAATATGTTTCATACGTCAATTTAAAAAAAAAATAAAAATAAAAAATTTTCAAGAATGAATAAATAAATAAATGAAAACCAACTTAAACTGGTTGATTTAGCCTGTTTAAAAAGCCGATTTAAGCAATTTTTAACCGTTAATAGAATCAAAAAGACATTTGTAAAAAATAGAATTTTTTTTTATTAGAAAAAAGAAAAACTATCATATTTTGTTGTGTTGTTTTTGCTATGTGCAATTGATAAAGCTGAAATCTCGTTGCAATTTCATGATTAAAATTTGTACTTTTTAAGTAACATCTTTCTGTTAATTAAGATTCTAAATTGTATCCTTAGAAATACTATATTCATATATTGTTCGTATTTAATTTCCCTTATTTAGTGTCCTTTATGATTGTGTTGTCAATAATAAGCAATAATTAAACTATAATTTTTAGTTCCTTCAATACGTATATGGATTCATTCAATATTCTCATTTTTCGTTAATGAAATAACGGTTTCGTAAATGATTTAATTAAATTTTAGTTACCAGTTGGCATCGAATCATGAAATTTCTTTAAATTCATTTTGTTTTTCTTAGTTCGAAACACATTCGCCTAAGTATCTGAGAAAGAACTTGAAGGAAAACTCGTTTGACAAGATTTTGAGACTAGCGACTTCTTATAAGTTTCTTAACTTCTTTTTTTTCTTCTTTTTCTTCCACTGCATTTGAAACTTTCCCTTGTTTCTTCCTTCTATTCTCATGGTGTTCGATCTCTCTAAGTTCTCCCTTCTCCACTCCCTTCTCTAGTTTACTCTTTTTTTCTTCTTCTTTTTTTCGAAATTAGACTGTTAGTCTGGGGATCATTCACAAATATACAAAAATAATGGAGATGAATTTCGGTGTCATCGAGTTGATTTAATATTTTTTTGTTATTACATTTATATTTATTTATTTTTCTTCTGAGATTTAGTTATTTATTTTTGTGGCAAATATCTGTGACTAGATGTAAGATCCAATGCTAACTATTTTAATTATATTTTTAAAAAAAAATTCGAAAATAAATTGTTGTGATTCTGATTACCTAGCATTGAGATCCCATGAAAGAAAATTCCTGTACCAATTCCTTATCAAACTGCTGTGATACAATATTTACTATATTGCTTTAATTTATTATGTTCTATAAATTAAATAGTGTTGAATTTAAAACGAAGCTGTATCTTGAATTAATTCAATAACTAATTGACTTAATTAGAAAAATCATTTATATTAATTATTTCAAAATAAACTAAATAAAATGGAAATAGGTGAAAAATTACAGCTATGAAAACTTTACCCTCCAAAGTTAAGTGCTGATTTTAAGAACTGGTTTACGTGGTCCTGTATAAAAATGATAATGGATTTTTCTCCCCTTATGAACGTTTTATTTTCATGGAATTCATGTTTATGAAATTCATGGGAAGAAAAGGTAATAAGTCTTATCTTGCATTCGATGTTGATTTCATTATGTTGTTATTCTTTAAAGGTTTCTTAAGTTAAAAGATTCGATTGCCGCAACAGATATCAGACCACGGGATCTTCATTAAATTTAAAATTGATACATCTATTGACTGAGAAAAATATCAAAACGTTTGTTGTGACAAAACTTCTGATATTAATTTAATTGGAACAGCCTATTCAGGTCTGATTTCCACCTATCAATGTTCTACTGGTTGTCTTTTAATTTTCAACCCAGCTCAAAATTCAGTTCCTGGATTCAGCATTGGGACAAATTTGCTTTCGTGGAGGACTGTATGGTGGAACTAACAGTAATTGCGCTTAACGCAGGGAAAATCATTAAAACCTCACTCGATTAGTCGGATGACAAAAGAATTCTAACTTATTCGTCTGCCACTGAGGATATTTTACATCAGCACTTAGCTTTATGTTAGTTAGGAGCAATATATTAATTGGTCAGATGTACACCGAAGAGCCATTACATTATGACCACCCTGCTAATAACATGTAACCACCTTTAGCCCTCAAAACTGCTAGCACCCGCCTTGGCATTGATTCCACAAGGTGCTGATAGGTAGTCTGAGGTTTCTGATACCAAGCGCTCACCAACTGGTCCTGCAATTCCCTCACATTGCGAGGGGGTAGCGTGGCAGCACGAATTTGGTTTTCCAAGTAGGACCACAAATGCTCTATTGGATTAAGGTCAGGTGAATTTGGGGGCCAAGACATGACTTGAAAGTCACTGGAATGTTCCTCGAACCAATCCATGACGATTCGACCCTTATGACATGGTGCATTATCCTGTTGGTAAACACCATCCCCCGCAGGAAAAACTGTTGCCATGAATGGGTGAACCTGGTCTGCAACTATGTTCAAGTAGCTTACAGACGTCAGGGATTGTTCTATGAGGATTATGGGTCCTAATGTGCCCCATGAAAACATTGTTCCTGGGCGAGAAACCATGAAAACCTGGGCGAGCCCATTGTTATAGATGGAGGGTGGTCATAATGTAATGGCTCTTCGGTGTATCAATCAATTATTTCTAAGCACTTAGCCCCGCATTTCAGAACTTCATCTTTTAGCAACAATGGCGTAAATGCTAACATAATTTTAATCCCAATCAGATGACGTAGATTGTGTCTGAGCTGGCTCCCTTCTCTCGAGACTTCCTCACCTCAAATAACAAGAGAAATTGCAGCTTAACATTCACCTTAAATCGACTCGCCATAGTCAGGTTTCGAATCTGGTTTGACTCTTTAAAACTGCCACTTCAAACAACTTCATAAGTGTAGCAATTACTGCTCCGAATTTTGCCAAAATAAAATAAAAATGGCTTCTAAATATTTGACATGTTCCTCGCATAATTTTGTTCTTCATTCATTTAATGATAATTGTTTTGTCCAATTCACGAGATAGTGTTAAAACTCCCTTGGCACGTCTCATTTCTTTCTCATAACTTTCCTCGTTCCAATTTTTTAATTTTTTTAAACAACCAGCTAAATCACGTGCTCTATTATTTCCTTCCTATTCTGAGAACTGACGTCACCCAACGCCTCATCGTCGCGTTTAAGTGATTTTACCTATCGTGACACAATTTGATTGCGTGTTACCTTTTTAAAATTCTCTTCTTTTGTGAACTGTGTGAGGAGCATATAAATTAGACATGTAAATTGTTAATCCTTACTGTGATGCTCTTTAAACACCTGGGTGCCTTCATTTTTATTGTGTAGGTAGAATGAAAATGTTCTATTCTTTTGCTCTGGGTTCTATTTCATAAATATTATGTAAGAACATTAAGTACCTCTTAATATTCTGGTATTACGAAACGAAATTTTAATGGAAAACTTCTCTCTGTTAAGCTTAAAAATGGAAATTTTTGTTTTAATTAGAATATATTAGTATGGAATTCATTTTATAAAAACCAGCATTAACTTCAGAAGATCTGTGTGATTGTCGAAAAATTAAATTTTATATGTGTATTAATCACGTATATTATCAGAAGTAAAACTAATTTTTGACAATTCAACATTAGTGAGTTTTAAATAATCTTAATTTTAATAAATTTTCATAATCACTTCGTCACGAAATCACTTGACGCTCTTTTTTTTACGTCTTTTTTTTTTGTATTATCTTTGATCGTAATGTATTCTAGAGGTTTTCCAAAATTTTTTGTTTGATGGTTAAAACCCTTTGATTTTGAGTACTCTTATAC